ACAAATTCTAAGGCTCTGAATGAACACTCTAGGGCATTCTCATTCATCTCAATATATGGGGCGTCAGTCGTCACGAAAGCAATAATCTCTTCATCGGCCCCAATACTAATCAACTGACCATTTGTCACGAATTTTAATTTTTAGTGTAAGGACAAAGGGACTGCCTCTGCAGAATGAATCCATGGCCTCCCAAGCAAGCAATTATATGAAGGGTTGATGTTCATCACCACAAAATCAATATTGTAGACAGTTGGTCCAATCAACAGTGGTACCTCCATCTTTTCAAGCACATCCCGCTGAGTTCCATCAAAAGCTCTAACAATGTTTTGGTAGGCCCTCATATGTGAGCAGTCCACCGATAACCTTCGTAACGTGGCCATAGGCATAACATTGAGTGCAGACCCATTGTCAATCAAAACCCCTGGTAAGACATGACCATGACAATGAGTTGTGATATTGTGGGCTTTTACTGATCCCATTCCACTATCTGGAATTTCATCATCAGTGAAAGTTATGTAGTTATCAGCAGCTATGTGCCCTACAATTCGATCCAACTTGTTCACTGATATATCTTTAGGCACAAATGTTTGATTGAGTACTACTAACAAAGCATTCCGGTGTACTTCTGAATTCATTAACAAATCCAGAATCGAAATCCGTGCTTGTTGCTTATGTAGCTACTCAACTACACTATACTCACTATGTTTTAAAAACTTCAAGAATTCTTGAGCTTGCATTTTTGTTACCGGCTCATTGATCATTGGTGGGAGTTCATCATCAAATATCTTTTGCGGTACCACCACAGTTTTTCCTTTTGCCTTCACTTTTTCCATTTCTTTTGACATCTCGGGATAATAACACCTCCCACTTCTTGTGAAGTTCCCGACTTCACTCGCTATTTCAATCATCAAGTTGTCTCTTGGTGCTTCATCTTCAACTACCTTTATTTTCTCTAGCGAGCCAGATTCCTTTATCAATGAAACATTGGCAGTGTAGTTCCAAGGTAACTTGCGGGTATCTTTAAACGAAAATGGTGAAGGAGCTGTGATTACAACTTTTGGCATTGACGACCCAGAATTCATTGCTGATGGTTTCACAATGATGACCACTGGTTTGTTTGTTCTGTGAACGGGCTCAGAATTTTCTGTTGTAAAGACATCTTCTCCTCTTTTTTTCCTTATCCTCCTCAAAGAACTCTACCTCCTTATTATTCATCATTCTTTGTAGTAACCCCATGAATTCAGGGCAAAGCTGAATTTCATGCCCTTCTTCTTGGTGATATTCGTAATATTGTCCACCCTCACTGGTCTTTAGCTTAGGATCTTGTCGAATCATGCCATCCTGATAAAGTTGTTGAAATACCTTCGTAACATGGCCACAGGCATAACATTTAGTGCAGACCCATTGTCAATCAAAACCCCTGGTAAGACATGACCATGGCAATGAGTTGTGATATTGAGGGCTTTTACTGATCCCATTCCACTATCTGGAATTTCATCATCAGTGAAAGTTATGTAGTTATCAGCAGCTATGTGCCCTACAATTCGATCCAACTTGTTCACTGATATATCTTTAGGCACAAATGTTTGATTGAGTACTACTAACAAAGCATTCCGGTGTACTTCTGAATTCATTAACAAATCTAGAATTGAAATCCGTGCTTGTTGCTTGTGTAGCTACTCAACTACACTATACTCACTATGTTTTAAAAACTTCAAGAATTCTTGAGCTTGCATTTTTGTTACCGGCTCATTGATCATTGGTGGGAGTTCATCATCAAATATCTTTTGCGGTACCACCACAGGTTTTCCTTTTGCCTTCACTTTTTCCATTTCTTTTGACATCTCGGGATAATAACACCTCCCACTTCTTGTGAAGTTCCCGACTTCACTCACTATTTCAATATTCAAGTTGTCTCTTGGTGTTTCATCTTCAACTACCTTTATTTTCTCTAGCGAGCCAGATTCCTTTATCAATGAAACATTGGCAGTGTAGTTCCAAGGCACCTTGCGGGTATCTTTAAACGAAAATGGTGAAGGAGATGTGATTACAACTTTTGGCATTGACGACCCAGAATTCATTGCTGATGGTTTCACAATGATGACCACTGGTTTGTTTGTTCTGTGAACGGGCTCAGAATTTTCTGTTGTAAAGACATCTTCTCCTCTTTTTTCCTTATCCTCCTCAAAGAACTCTACCTCCTTATTATTCATCATTCTTTGTAGTAACCCCCTGAATTCAGGGCAAAGCTGAATTTCATGCCCTTCTTCTTGGTGATATTCGTAATATTGTCCACCCTCACTGGTCTTTAGCTTAGGATCTTGTCGAATCATGCCATCCTGATAAAGTTGTTGAAATACCCAACTGAAGGGAGACTTGATTTCATGAACATCTGTCTTTGTCTTCCTTCTATTCTCCTCATGAATTGCGTTTACCCCTTTACCTCCATGATTCGGTAATGGGTATGTTGATACATCTGGCAAGTCAAACTGTAATCCTCCTGTGTTAATCAAATTTTGCACTATTTTTTTGAAGGCAAAACAATTCTCTATAGAATGACCAGCAATTCCATCGTGGTAATCACAATGTGTATTTGCGTCATACCAATGAGAGTACAGTGGTTGAAGAGGGGACAAACGGTAGGGGTGTACCATATCTTCCTTGAATAACGAGGCGTATATCTCTGAATAGGGTACGGGTAGTGGTGTAAAGGACACATTCTCTCTCTCCTTACGAGGTCCCCTGGAATCATTTCTGGTGGTGTTCATGTCATTCCTCTCCGCCCTTGATTGGGTTATTGTGACACTATTTGTAGTATTCTTATGGTAGACATTTGCACTGTTAACTTCATTTTCCGGTACACAGGTTTTTTGGAGCTAGACCCTTCAACCACTTCAATCTTGCCACTTCTTATAGCATTTTCGATGAGCTCACCAGAGATGATCAAATAAACAAAAAATTTTATGGCATTTCCAAGCAAATGCCCCAAATACGGAGCTCTCAAAGTATTGAAAAAAATTATAGTAGCCTCCTTTTCGAGTAAAGGGGGCTGGACCTGTGCAGCAACATCACGCCACCTTTGAGTTTATTGTCAGAAAGTCTCATTGCTTCTTTTTTCCATATTTTGAAGAGTCCACCGATCAGGAATTATATCTGTAACATGGCGATACTGTTCTAGGAATGCTTTTTCCAAGTCCTTCCATGATTTGATATGGGCCCTAATTAATTGGTTATACCACTTGGCGGCAGAACCTGTCAGACTGTCTTGAAAACAGTGAATCAACAGTTTTTCATCGTTCACATGGACAACCATCCTCCGACAAAACATGGTAATATGAGATGAAGGGCAAGTGGTTCCATTGTATTTTTCGAATTCAGGAACCTTGAATTTCACAGGGATGATCAGGTCTAGGACCAAACTCAGCTCTCTGGCGTCAGACCCATAAAATGGTTCAACCACTTCTACTGATTTTACTCTTTCTTCCAATTTCTTCAATTGTTGAGTTATTTGTTCATTGGATTTTTCCTTTTCAGCTAACTCATTCAAATCTGGGGTTAGGTGCTCGGTATTAAATTCCCCTAGCCTTACACCTGAAACATACTGATACATGTTTGGGAATACAGATCCCATGTGATGCTGCTGATTCTCATTGCTAACATATGCATGAGGTCGAGCTTCTTGAGGTACCGAAGGATGAGCAGATATGTGTATAGGTGTGAGACCAGGAGGAGGACAAGATTCTGGTGTAAACCCTGGCAGATGCTGGGGGTCAGAAGTAAACCCCGCAGGATGTGATGCTCCTGCTCCAAACCCTGGAGGATGCGATGGATCTTGCTCGGATGACATTAGTTGGTCATCCGCAATCTTTCCACCTGTAGCATGTTTCTTAAACATTTCTTCCATCCTTTGTAGTAAATTGGTTTGCGAGTTTGTTATCTCTGCTTCCATCTTATTTAATCTCTCTCTCATTTCTTCTTGAGCTTGTTTTTGTTCTTGTTCAAGTTGGATCATTATAGCTTCCATTTTCCTAGTTGTATTCCGAGTACCGTACGGGTGTGAGGTGAATGCCAGAATAACTACAATGATTGGAAATTATATACTATTTTTGGTGTTTTAATGAATGAATGCATGTCTTAATGCAAATAAATACAACATAAAGGTGTTAACCCAAGCAGTTACCATTTAGAATTAACTTTCAATAGATAACAAGTTTCCTTTATTACAAAGAGATCCATTACAGATAAGGTTTAGCTCTTAGACTCAGCTCTATAATTTCATTCATAATAGAAATGATCTCCCTTGCATACTCAGAAACTGGATTTGTTCGTAGTTGGATGATCTCAGCTCTATTGGCCAATTCATTCATGTACTGAGCAACTCCACTCATTTGAGCTATAGCTTGACCCATCATACGCTCTCGTTCTTCTACCAACATCCGATGATGCTCATATGTGTCCTTTTATCATTCCTTAATTCGAGTAATTTCCCTTTCGAGATTGGTGATGTGTACTCGACAGCATTGAAACTCACTTTCTAGACGTCTGACTTTCTCTCGTAAAGAGTTATTCTCCATACAAGTAAGCCTTAAGTTCATCCACTCAGGTGGCATTTGCATTTGAAGTAAAGACTCCTCAAGATGCGAGATATAATCTTTGAGATCACCGTTCATAACTCGAGATCGATTCAACTCCTCTTCCAAATTAATCTGTAAATCTTCCATTTCTTCTATTAATTCCTCTACTCTCCTGCTCTTTGTTTGGAATCGTTGCATCCAAGACCCAATTTCAGCCTGTTTTCTTTCAAGAATTCGATTCCACCTCTGTCTTTCAGTCCACATCTCCTTATTCTTTCGATCTGTTTCTTCTTCAAGCTCTGTAATTCTTCGGTCTTTATCTTTGAAGTCCTCAATTATATTATTTATCTCAGTTTTCAACCCATGGACTCGACTTTTTTCTTCCTCTAATTCATTCATGCTGATATCTTTTTCCTCCTGAAGTTTCTAAATTTTACGAGCCCCGACCTTAGATTGTTTGATCAAGTCTCTCTTATCAGCTTCCAACTCTCCAATTTTTGCTTTGCTGGCTTCTATCTTCTTAACTTGACATTTATTCTCAGTCTCAAGACTTTTAATTCGTCGCTTTACAGCTGCTAATTCTATGGCCCATTGATGTGGCGCTTTACTTGACCCAAATCCCCTTTTCGTTTGTTGCATCTTTTGATAATCCCTTTTTAGTTCTTCAAGATTGGCTTCTACCCCTTCTTTCTTGTTCCTCATCATTTTGAACTGTTTGGTATGAAATTCAGCTTCGAGAGTTAGCATGAAGTTTTCTCTCTCCATTTCCTTTATTTTCTTAGTATCTTTAGCTTTCTCTATCTCAAACTCACTTCTCTGGATCTCCAAGTTCGAAGGGATATTTCTGATTTGTTCTTCCATTGACCTGGATCCTTCTCCAGATGCTAAAGGAATCTTGTCATTTACCCTTTGAATTCTCCAAGCTTCATAATCAGGTTTCAAGACAACATCTGCTCTAACTACCTTGGTCACAAAAGTCAACCTCCATGAATCAACCACATCTTTGACTTTCTTCTTATAATTGGCTTCTTTGAAATCAAATTTGGCACCGGCTACCTCGTGGGTAACTGGAACAAATTGTCGAGCCCCGTATTATCTTAATACCAACAAAGGAGCATATCCAACTCCTCAATCATAGTCTCTATAGTATGATCCAGTCTAAATCTCTACATTTGAACAAAATTTGCGTGTGCATCATCCACGAAGCTCTCCATATTATATTATGACCCTGTAAATTCCTGAAGAATTCAACCCACTGATCTTTTTGTGATACTTCAGGCCATTCCTTCGTAAGGTACTCGGTAATGGGAGAATAATCTTTCAAAAAGCGATTATAATTGACTTTTCTTTCTTTCCAAAAATGACTTCTGATCCATATAGTAAGCAACTGAGCACATCCCATAAAGCGACCTCCATCAAACCTTCTACACATATTTAAAGATCGAAAGGTTTCAGCGAGAATTACATGGACCGGGTTTGTTCCTCTTTTTAACTTCTCAACCAAGTCAACTACTGCCAGCTCAACAATCCCCAAACACCTTGGAAAAATTATCAGACTATATATTCCCAGAGCACATACATCTCTCCGTACATCTTCGTCTACATGTGTTTCAGCTATCTTTTGTAAGTGTAACCATGGTACTCCTATGCTTTCCCCTCTTCGTTGCAACCGATCCTTTATCCATTTATCGCTCGTGCCCGAGATCTTTGCAAGCTTTGATTTAAACAAAGGCCCTTTTATCGATTGAGAGTAGATTTGGCTTACTTTAACCTTTGGCAGATTCAGCAAAAAATGGTATTCCTCCAGGGTTGGAGTCATGTCCTCCCGATTAAAGGTGAAACAGCTATAAGCCGGATTCCAAAACTGTATCATACTTCGAATGAGAACCGGGTCTACATTGACATATATCAGATGAAATATGTCCCCATAGACTTGTTGAAAAGTATGTTTCTGAGTTGAATTCCATCATTCCCAAATGGCCTTTAATCCCTGAAGTTCATTCTGTTTTAATGAGGCTGGTGTATAAGCAGACAGCTTTGACACATAGATCTTTGGGAGACTATCTCCTTGCTCTTTCTGCTTTGCTTCAAACCAATTCCTTACATCTGCTGGATTTACTTCTTCTTTTAGGAAACTCATTTCCATCATGAAAGTTCTTCCACTTTATCGATACTCACATATCAAACGCCTTTTCTAATGATATGTACATGTAATATGAAGGAAAAAAAACAAACAAAACAAACAAACAGTTAGTCAAAAACAAGTGAATAAATTCAATATAAGAAAAAAAATTAATTGAATCTATCTCTATCTATCCCAAATAAAAAAATCCTAATATACCCTTTTACGTGTACACCTATTATCAGACAAAGGGTCGATATGTCTATACCTAGGGTGACAGTTCTAGGGTTCACTGTATGCATGGTTTCGGCTCTAATGGGAAAGAGGTACTCGAATTGTCCTTAATGTCGATGCCCCCTTGGGCTACCGAACCCTCGATCCTCACCCATTACAGGTTTCGAGCGGAACGAGTTCAATTCGAGGGGATTCACTACCTTATACTCATACGAGGAATAAATCCCTACGAAGGTATAAAGTATGTATCTCGTGGGTTATTTGCTAAAACTCATATGAAGAATAAATTCTTACGAGAGTAAAGCATTCACCCCAACTAATTTGGATCAAAACTCGGGTCTAGAGCTCATGTTATGCCAATGCACGTGATGTGTTTAAAGATGAACATTCAAACCTTTGAATCAATAGGAAAACAAAGCAACTCAACAAAAACTTGAATTGAGCTGAAAGCGGAAATAAAATGTTAGTAAAACAATAATAAAATTAAACAATTAAAAACTTCAATAAAAGGATCATAAGTTAACTAAAGACTCGAACTCATAATTTCCACCACAACAACAATAAGTAATCGACTTACAGCCTGACTCTCTAAAAAAATGTCCCCAACAGAGTCGCCAAGCTGTCGTAACCATTTTTTAGCGGGGACAATCGTTTTATTGTTTAAAAAGCAGTTACGACTTTAATTTTGGAAAATTGGTGATTTTGGATTAAATTGGATTAAGTCAAAAAGAGTCATCATCAACCTTTGGGTTTGGTAGGTCAAATACCTAAAAACGTCTTTTAAAAACAATTTTAAGAAAAAAACATTTTTTAAGAAAAAAGTTAGTCTGCGTTTACCAAAGATTCGATTAAAACGGATTCGGGAGTCGGTTACATGTGGGGAAGGATTAGCACCCCCACAGCGCCCAAAATTGATACTGTTTCGCTTACACGTTATCGTAATGGAAGTTGTGAATTGAATATAAAATTAGAATATGATCCATTTATTAAATATTGATTAACTTGCTTCAATAAAATTAATTAATTAGTAAAAAAATTCTTTAATTTGAAAATAAATCTCGACATTAGCAATCTTCTGTCAAGAAAGCTATTTCATCTATTTCTTATTCAAATTCGAAAATTTCATTCTCATTGATTTTTTTTAAATTCGAATCGAATAAATTTAAATATCAATTTTTACATGAAATAATATAATAAATTTTTAAGAAAATATAATAAAATATTTATAATAATACTATTTTAATCCTTAAAAATGAAATAAAATAATAGGTAAGAAAAGTTAATATTTGAAAATAATTAATATAATTTGTAATGTGAGAACAACATAATTTTAAGCAATATATAATGGGAGCTACACTTGCAAAAGTTTTCTTTAAATAAGGACAATGGAATCAAACGTATTTTTTAATTTTTATTATTGTATTTCATTGTATATTTAATATTTTACGTTAATAAGGATGTTAAAACCAATTAAAATAGTGTTTGCTAAAAGTTAAAATAATAAGATATATACATATGAATATATAAGGTTTTGAAAATATAATCAACAAATAAAATGATCTATATAATAAATTAAATAATTTTAAAGTTTTTTTTATAATATATAAATTTTTTTAGTAAATACAATTGAAATATTCTGTATGTTTAGAATGAAATCAAATAAATTAAATTAATGTTATATATATATATATTTATTAACATATATATTAACATGACTTAAATATTAATTTACAACATTAAGATTGACAAATTAAATAATTAGGTGATTAAAACAAAAGAATAATAAATTTTAAGACCAAATTTAAATATAAAATATAATATACAGTCAGTGACTATAATAAAATATTTAAACATATAGTGACCAATGTCAAATATTTATAAGAATACGAAACATATACAAATAGGATTAAAATATAAATCGTGAAATATAAGTGCTCAAAATCAAAATAAAAAAAACTTCAATTGATGTTTAAAATAGTATTTTACAAACTACAGGGACTATATGTCATTACCCCATCCGAGAAATTACAGCTATACCCTTGATAAAACTACGTCGTTTTGTCTATTGTATTTAAACCCCAAAATAGGCTACTATTCTCATTCTTCTCTCATTTTTCGTCTCACCCAAATAAAAGAGAGAGAGGGTTCTAGAGAACTCTCTCAATTCTCTCAAGCACAGAAAGGTTCCCACGGTGGCCGGAGGCTCCAACGGCGGCGCACGGCCACCGAAAAAAATAAATCCAACCTCAAACCATTATATTTCTTCCCTACAACCCGAATCACTACTTAGTTTCATCTAAAATCATCCCTATAAGCATAGATCTAGAAATTACCTTCGAAGAAATGGTGACTTTAGAGCTTCCACAACCGGCGTTAAAGCTTCTCGTTCACTTTGAACTCCACTGTAAGTTTCTCTCCTCACAAATCTTTTTTTTAGTATTTTCCTTCCTTCCTTCCTTAATTCCGAGTCCTTGCATGCACCATTTATACTGAATATTTGGTGCGTTTTCCACTGATTTTTCGAGTAGTGGTAGGATGGAAGACCTAATTTCTGGTTTTTATTTGGTTTAAAAATGCTTAAATGATGCACAACTGATTTTATATATTATTTTTTTAGTGATATTTGGTTGCATGTTAACGTAAGGGATGACGATGATATCTTTGATGATCGGCGATGACTCAGCAGTTCGGTTGTCGTGGCGTCTGGCTGGAGCATGCGGCAGCGTGAGCAGTGGACTGGTCACTGTTGGAGGCGGCAGTCTAGGGTTTCAAACCCTATGTGGCTTTGGATCTGGATTGTTGATTTGGGTCCAGATCCAACGGATGGCGTTAGGCGGCGCTAGGGCAGAGAACATGAAACCCTAAGGAGTCAGTCGGGTCGGGTCGTGGATCTCGGGTCGGATCCGGCTGGGTTTGGGTCGGGTTTCAGCTGTTTGGGTTAGCAACTTGATGTTGGACTGGCACCTTGTAATGGGCTCTGGGATTTTTTAGGCCTGTAAACATTTAATATATGTATTAATAATAATAAATATATCATATATATATTTTTTTTTAAATCCCAACAAAATGGGTGTCTACACCTAACTTAAGTCTTCTCTATTTCCTTCTTAATTGTTCTTGTAGTCGTAGATTTGTTCTTGTAGTCGTAGATGTAGCAGCAACTGAATTTGCATGCACTTCATCGTCTAAGAAGAGAAGAAACACTAGATACCCAAAATATCAAACTTAATAAACTAAAGAAAGAAAAATATATGGAAATTAGAAAGTATGAAAAGTTTAACTTAAAATGCCATGTCATTTCTCTATTAGAAAATTAACCGATGAGGAGTGATTAAAAAAATTTAATGTATAAAGTTTAGTTATTAAATTGAAATTTTTTAAACTTTAGTGATCAACATAGGAGACAGAAGAAAGTTGAATGATGATTTGTATAGTTTAGTATTTTTTTAATATAAAGGAAGAAAAACGTATAGCCTCAACTGCAGACAAAAGCTGCAAATAGCAGTATGCCTTGCATGAAATTTTGAAACGAAAAGGTAATTTCATATCAACTTCGCAATCGCAACTGCTACCTTAATCCCTTCGGGAGGGTGATTTTGTAGCTTTAGTACTACCCTAAATCAAGTTATTAGGGTTCTTAAAAAGAACAAACATAAAAAAGGGTTTTATAGGATTATAAAAAAGAAAAGGTAGATTCGATCAAATTTTAATCATCACTCAAATTGAATAGATTCTATTTCAAACTCAACTTCAGTTATTAACGAATCAAAATAAACAACTTGATATCTTACTTGAAAAGATTTTTAGCAACTCAAAAAATAATATATTAAAATTTAAAATTAAATTATTAATAATATTAACATGTATACACTATTTTTTTAAATGCAATATAAGATTTTTATGTACTTAAGGTTCATGTTTGAACTCACGTTTGAGCTCCAATTGAGTTAGCCTGAGAATATTTTGAGTTGAAGTTTTTTGAGTTTGAGTCAAACTTCAATTTTTATTTCAAGTCGAGTTTAAAAATTTTAAGCTAACAAGTTTCCGTAGTCGAGTCAAGTTTAATAATTTTATGCTCTTTAATTTTGAATTCAAGTCAAGCTCAACTTTAAACATTTCAAGTTAAACTGAGCTCGACGGTCCAAAGTTCGATTCGACTCATTTACGGCAATAAGACTCGTCTTCTGTCCTAAATTTTTGAGAGAGAACCCTAACCCATCCTACTCTTGCACCACCGTTACGCTACCCTGACGTTCAAACCCCATCAACGGTGCCCTCTCTGTGTATGTTATTTTTCTTGTTATTTTATTGATTTTTTTTTATTTTTTCGTATGATTATTTATAGAAGGAATGAATAATATTTTAAATCTTAATTTAATTAATATTGATATTATTATAGATTTTGAATTGAAGAAAGTTTTCTATTTGACCATCTTAATCAATTATCTTTTGATTAAGGTGATTATAAAGTAATATATATTTTAAATACTCCTAATCACTTGATAATGAACGTTCAA